AAAGATGTCACTTTGAGGAGTAAGTTGCATCTGACCTAAGCTATGGTATTTTCAATCACTTCATATATATGTGAAAGTTGGAAATGGGTAAGAAAGACTGAAGAATTGATGCCTTTGAATTATGGTATTGGGGGGAGGAAATTGAATATACAATGAACTGCCAGAAGAATGAACAAATCTGTTTTAGAAGCACAGCCAGAATGCTCTTTAGAAGCAAGGATGGTGAGACTTCGTCTCACATATTTGGTCATATTATCAGGAGGTACCAGTCCCTGGAAAAAGACATCATGCTGGGTAAAATAGAGGGTCAGCAAAAAAGAGGAAGAACCTCAGTGAGATGGATTGACATAGTGGCTGCAACAATGGGCTCAAACATGGCAATGATTGTGAGAGTGGTGGAGGACTGAGCAGTATTTTGTTCTGTTGTACATGGGGTTCGGATGGGTCAGTACTAACTCGTTGGCACCTAACAACAACCACATGACATGTGTATGTTCATATTCAATCAGCATTACATTATTGAAGACAATCTGCCATTCCCAAATTGTTCCCTGGTGTAACTTTCAAAGTCAGAATATTGGCCTTGTCAGTCTATGGGCTTGATCTTGAATGGAGATCCTCATATCAAGTTGTGAGGAGATACCTTACAATAATAAACCAGTTGCCATTAGGTCAAAATCAACTCATGACGGTCCCATGTGAATCAGAGTGGAACTGTGCTCCCTAAGATTTTCAAAAGCAGATCACCAGTCCTTCCTTTCTAGGCACCTCTGTGTGGGTTCAAACCCCCCCACCTTTCAATGGACCATTTTTACCACCCAGGGACTCCTTCAATTACAGTGGAAGTTAGGAAATTCAGTGCTCTCCTAACTCGCCTGAGCTGGCTGTAATGCCTTGGGCAAGTCATTTCACCCATTTCTTTGCCTCTTGGAATGTGTGGAGGTTGATGAGCACAGCCAAGATTTATCAGCAGATAACAGTTGTGAATGGATGAGTTACATCTGCGGAGGATTAGATCTGACTCAGCATGAGTCAGGTACATTGGAAGTCTTGCTCATACTAGTTTCCCTTTGTCATGAAAACTTTATAATGTCCAGTTTAGTGATGCAACCTTGGTGAAATTGAACTTGAGCAACTCAAAGTGATATGTTTATTCGCATCCAAGTTTGGTGCAGTTACTAATTGACCAAAGCATGCTGGCAGAATGAAAAGCGGCTAACAGCTGTACCATGGGAATGGGAATACAGTATGTAGTGGTGGTGCAACAGCTAAGTGCTCAGCTGATAATCAAAAGGTTGGTGTTTGAACATACCTAGCGGCTAGGCACAAGAAAGATCCGGCAATCTGTTCCGTAGAGACTACAGTCTAAACCCTCTGGGGCCCTTCTAACCTTTCACCCAACAACAGGCACCCAGCAACACTTGCAATAATTATAGGTTGGAGATCAGAGAGTATCAGATGCCTCGGGTTTGTTCTGAACAATGTGCCCTCCTACTTTTACATACAGCCATTGTGGCATGCTGCCTATTTTCTCTGTAATGGTCCCTTGGAGCACTGTAGCTGTATAAATTGCTGTATGTGTATTCATTTAATCCATAATTCAGGTCCAAAAATTATATATAGCTATCGACCAAGGCCTGAATGATCTGATTGGTATGTATAAACTGACTTTGATTCTCTGCACAACTTCTAAGCCATCTGTTTCATTTGGTCTTGGGAGCCTTAGGGTAAAGCGACAGAATAAATTATACATAATATTAAAAAAGAGCAGCTTGGGAAGGAATAGTATGTCCTCGGGGGCCAAAATACAAGGCAACATAAAGGAATTTCTTTGTGATATAAAGTATAACACTTCTAGGATGGTAATGATAAATAAAATCCAATCCAATGTTCTTGTTCAACATTCCCGCATCCTGTATAATAAAAAATGTTCAAAGACTGAGAATTTATGGGAATTCTGAGTTGTTTCCAGAGTAGATTGAGAATAAAATTATCCCTACAATTTGCTATCAAAGCTTTACCAGAAATTTTGCTTGACAGGAAATCATCCTGGATTGGGTGAAGAAAGGTAGGATTTGAGAGCGTGGTGAGCTGTATAGATGACTGTGTTGTAGACCCAGCTTCTATTTCACTCCTTCCCACATGTGCATCTTAGAAAAAAGACTAGAAAGTGACCAGTACATTCTATAGGGCAATGGTTAGAACATTGACTTTGGAGATGAACATCTGAGTTGACGCCCTAGTTCTTCCAATTGCTAGCTATGTGACCTAGGGAACTAGCATTGTGAAGTTTCCTCATTTGTGAGTGGAGATAATAACTACCTCACAAGATTGTTATGAAGATGATTCAGTAGTAGTTCCTAAAACTCATGGCAGCCCTATGTATGCAGCATAGAACTGCTCCATAGGGCTTTCCTGGTTGTGACCTTGCAGAAGCTGATCACCACGCCTGTCTTCCAAAGCATCTCTGGGTGGGTTCGAAATACTAACTTTTTGGCCAGTCATTCAGCACTTAATCATTTGTACCACCCACAGACACCAAGGAATCAACTAGATGGCAATTGGAACTGGAGTTCCCGACATGTTGTGAGTTCTCAGTAAGGAGAGAAATCCTTTTCCATGTTCAATGCCACTATTCTCTTCATCTCTTGTCTGGTCCTTCACTATCTCTCCCACATGCATTTCTACCATGTCACACCCCTTTGGTTTCCTTTGCTGGTAGAAAATCACCACAGCTTCCAAATGACCATATTCTGGGCTACCTTCATTTGGGATCATAATTGAAGATTAGTAACTCTGGGCTAAGTCATGGTACCTAGGAGCTTCCCATGAAGGGTCTCATTTCTCATGGTTCCCATCATCATCATCACCATTAAGTCCACTCTGAGTTCCACTCTCTTCTCTCTTTAGAGCATCCATCTTCAAATCATTGGCCAACTCACCCATGTCAGCACTGACATGAACATTGACAGCACTAAGACCACACATTCCAGGGCTCCACAGTGTGAACCTTCTCTGAGAATTCACTCGCAGCTCTAGGGATAGGATCTAGGGGAAGAGCTAGGCAATAGGTCAGAAAGAGAGAGTGACCAAGTGGTCTCATCACCCTTAACCTAAGCCTTGACCTTCAGCCAAGGAGAGGACTAAACTACCCAGGAAATATTAGATGTTCCATCAGATGTTTCTTGGACTCTGTCTTATGATCTATCTGTTTAAAAAGCATCACTCTGACTTCAATTTTTTTCTTTTGTTGTTACAGAATGATGCTGGGGCCAGATGGTCTTCCTTTTATGAAGAACAGTCCAATATTGCCAAAAGTTTTTCATTGGAAGAAATTTCAAATTCCACAATCAAGCTTCAGTTGCAGGTCCTTCAGCAGAGTGGGTCATCGGTGCTACCAGAGGACAAGAGCAAACGGGTACGTTTGTGAACGTTTTACTGTTGAGTCCAAGAGTTGAAATATTTGGGAAATATTAAATGTTCCTATCACTCACGGCTACTTCCTTTACCTGCACAGATAGTAATGCTGACTTTGAACAAGAACCCTGTGTCTGTTGTTGGTATGTGCCATCGAGTCAGACCCAACTCATAGCAATCCCTCCTTGGGTTTCCAAGGCAGTATCACTACGGAAGTAGATTGCCAAACCTTCCTTCCGAGGAGTGGCTGGTGGGTTTGAACCGCCAGCCTTCTGGTTAGCAGTCAAGTGCCTTAGGCACTATGCTACCAGAGCTCCTAACCCTGTGTCTAGGTAGGGTGAATATAAAATTTATCGTTCAAATTGGTACCCTCTTTTCTCTAAAATTGGTATAAAATATAGCTAACACAACATTTGCCAATTTAACATTTTTCATGTGTATAATTTAGTGAGACCAATTGCACCAATCATATTGTGCAACCATCACCAACATCCATCGTCAACTTTTCCATCACGAGAAACAGAAACTGAAAGCATCCTGAACAATGATTCCACCGTCTTCCCTCCCTCCCTCCTCTGGTCACCACTCATAAACTCTGCTCTCTATACATTTGCCTATCGTAGGTATTTCATATTAGTGAGATAATACAATATTTGTCAAACTGGGATCCTGTGAGAGTGAAAGGAAGGGCTAGTAATGTTTATGGCAGGGCACTGGGTCAAACTGAGATTGTCCTGGGCCATCTGGTGCGTGTGGACAGCCTATGCAGGTCATATTCCTGAAGGCCAGGCTGCCTGAAAAGTACACTTAATTTATGTCAGTGGTTCTGGGGACATTTGGCAAATTTTGGTTGCTACAAATAGGAGGTGCATCTGGCATCTAGTGGGTAGGGATGCTGCTAACCATCCCACAGTGCACAGAAAGCCTCTCTACACAAAGAATTATGTGGTCAAAAATGTCGATTGTGCCAAGCTCAAGGAAGCTTGCATGCTGTCTAATTCTTCCGACCTTTGACTCTTGACTCTTCTCTGCAACTTCCTTAACAAGTGGCTAACAGTCTCAGCTCCGCGATGGGTAGTTTACCTCTTCCCAAAATCGCAGTTCCATATGTGGATCCCTTTAAAGAACGTACAGATCTTCCCACTATTGAGTGTAAAGGAACTCATCTCCATTTGGTTTTGCCTTCTGGAACTAGTTGACAGTGGGGAAATGGAACAACGGAGGTCTTCCTCCCTACATACAGGAATATATGGAGGCATAAAAAAAAATCACCTAATCAAAAAGGACATCTTACGTTACTGTTCTCTTTAGCATATTTCCTATTTTTACCTTTCTTATTATCTTTAATTTGCAGTTGGACACAATTCTAAATGCAATGAGCAAAATCTACAGTACTGGAAAAGCTTGTAATCCAAATACACAGGAGTGTTTGCTTCTTGAACCAGGTAGGCTATTCATATTGAGTTGTTGTTGTTGTTGTTGTTACCTGTCATTGGGTTAGCCCCTGCCTCATGGTGATGGCACACACTACAGAAGGAAAGGCTGTTGGGTCCTGCACCATTTCCATGACCAGTTGTAGATGGGATCATTATGATCCATAGGGTTTTCATTGATTTTCTGAGGTAGATCACCAGCCCTTTCTTCCTGGTCTGTCATCATCTGGAAGCTCTGCTGAAGTCTGTTCAGCATCCTAGTAACACGCAAGCCTCCACTGACAGATGGGTGGTAGTTGCACATGAGGTGGATTGGCCAGGAATTGAACCTGGGTCTCTTGTGTGGAAGGCGAGAATTCCACCACTGAACGACCCCATCTCCATTATTTATTTTGAGTAGTGATTATGAAATTTACTGTTTTCTTCCAAATTCTAAAAGTTCTTTCATGGACAATCCAGAGATGATAAGATTCCAAATATGTGCTTCAGCACGTAGATGCTCTTTTAACTTCTCACCAAATCTCATTGTAAATTCTGTCACATTCAAGTAATTTTGTTAAGTTAAAAATTATTTCAAGTGGTGTATATTCGCTGCAGGCATATTTTGGAACTATAATGAGAGTGAAGAAATGAACAAACAATGAGATTTTTGTTAATGATTATATGACCTTACTATCTGCCAGTCCTACTTTGAACTCTTTAAAGATCGTATGATTATTCACAAATAAAAATTGTACAAATGCATCCTTGTTTAAATGGTGTTTATGGGTGCTTTGCGATAACAGGTTTGGATCGCATCATGGAAAACAGCACAGACTATGACGAGAGGCTCTGGGCTTGGGAAGGCTGGAGGTCTGAGGTTGGCAGACAGCTGCGGCCATTGTATGAAGAGTATGTGGACTTGAAAAATGAGATGGCAAGAGGCAACGGTAAGCTTGCTGGTCTGTTGAGGTCCTGACAGGTCTCTTAGTGGCACAAATAGTTTGCGCTCTGCTGGTAATCCAAAGGCTGGTGGTTTGAACTCACCGAGGGGCACCGTGGGACAAAAGTCTGGCAATCTGCGTCTGTAAAGATGGCGGCCAAGAAAACCCTATGGAGCAGCTCTACTCTGTAACGCCTGCAGTCACCACGAGTGGAAAACCACTCAACAGCGAGGGGTTTCATGTTTGCTTGTTTGTAGCGATCCTGAAACTCTCAATGGGTCTAGTTCTCATGCATGCCCAATCCTACCTTTTGATGCCAGAAAACAACAACCACCACCAACTCACTACCATCTAGTCGATTCCAACTGGTAGTGATCCCCTTTGGGTTTCTGAGGCAGTAAATCTTTATGGAAGTAGATTGCCCAGTTTCCTTCCGCAGAGTGGCTGGTGGCTTTGAACCGCCAATCTTTTGGTTAGCAGTTAGCCTTAGGCACCAGAGCTCCTTTCTGATGCCACAGCTACCTATAAATTAAGGATCATCTGTTGAGCAATTTAGGGTATCTGTCTCAAGAAGAAGCCACTGAGAAATGGGAATAGATGTTTTGACGTTCGATAGTTTAAAGAGCTCAGGAGTACAAGTCTCAAAGAAATTGTTATCCAGGAAGGTCTCAGGCCCCTGGGGGTTCCCAGAGGAAGTCTGAAGACTGAATGTGGATTCCTTGTCTTGCAAATGATGACAGAGAGGGACCCTGCCCCTCACTTAAGCCCTTACCTGGCCACTGTTGACTCTCAAAGGTCATTTGGGTGTCTACCTCATGTGTTGTCACAGAAAGAAAAAAAAATCAGATTTGTTTAGGTTGTAAACTTATTCTTTTGTGGAGTTGTAATTTTAACTCAAGGAGCTCTGCTGGCACAACAGTTAAGGGCTTGGCTGCTAACTGAAAGGTTGGCAGTTTGAACCCACCTTAGGAACTCTGGTGGCGTAGTGCCTAAGGCACTTGACTGCTCACCAGAAGGCTGGCCATTAAAACCCACCAGCCGCTCTTCGGAAGGAAGGTTGGGCAATCTACTTCCATAGTGATACTGCCTCGGAAACCCAAGAAGGGGTCGCTATGAGTTGGGGCCGACTCGATGGCACACAACAACAACAGTGGCTCTGGGGGAGGAAGACCTGATGAGAATCTGCCTCCCTAAAGATTACAGCTAAGCATTGTAAATTTTGGTCAATGACATGAGACAAAGTATATGTGAACTGCTGTATGAAAAGTGAATTTACTCTGTAAATCTTCACCCAAATCCTAATTAAAAAAAAAGATTACAGCTAAGGAGACCCTATAGGACAGTTCAACTCTGTCACGTCAGTCACTATGAGTGGGTAATTGACTAGATGGCACCTAACAACAGCAACACAACAAATTACAACTCAAATCATGTTGTTATAAAACTCTAACATGTGGAGGTCTTTCCATATCCTTTAACTTACACTCCAAGGATCTCTGGTCAGCTATGAAAAAAATAGTAATATCTTGCCTATCCATCCTTCCAGCCACATACTTACTTTTCTCCTCATTTGCCTGATCATCCATTGCCAATGTGCTTGTAAAACTAAAAACTGCTAAAATGCATTGTCAGACTCGATTAGCTGATACCCTAACACAAGCTCATGTTTCCTGATGGAGAGATAATAAAGGATGCATGTCAGGATGTGCCGTGCATGCATATGAATTGCATACAATTTGCATGTGATTTGCAAGCAAAACCAGGTCCTTGGTGGCAAGATCTAGGAAGAGTTGGGTTAGATCTTAAAAGGCATCAGGCAGAATGAGAATGAAACGATTCAGAGATGCAAAAGTGTGTTTTAAAGTTGAAGATGCAAACTGACCTACAGAGACAGTTGAGACTCAGGTTGAAGAGAATAGGAGTGCACCTCTGCCCCTTACCAGCTGTGTGACCTTGGACAAGTGACTCCCCCTCTCTGAGAGCTGGCTGGTAATCTTTACAGTAAAACCAAAAATCCAGACCCAGTGCTGTCAAATAGATTCAGACCCCATGAACATGTTACATGGGGTTAGGGACCTCATGTAACAGCAGAACTGAGTTCCTTAGGGTTTTCTTGGCTGCAGTCTTTATGGAAGCAGATCACCATAGGTCTTTCTTGGCAAGTGCTGCTGGGTAAGTTTGAACTGCCAACCTTTTGATTAGTATTCGAGTACAAGCACAGGGACCAATCTGCACAGATGAGGTTGTAATAGTGATACTCTTGTAGCATTTTGTGCATAATGAATGAGATATTGTTGTTGGGTGCTGTGGAGTTGATTTTCAATTCAGAGTAGGACTGCCCTATAGGGTTTTCTAGGTTGTAATTGTTATGGGAGCGGATTGCCAGGTCTTTCTCCTAGGGAGTGTCTGGGTGGGTTCGAACCATCAGCCTTTCAGTTAGCAGCTGAGTGCTTAACTGTTGCATCACCAGGGCTCCTTTAACAGATATTAGCTAGTGTTTATACTCACTGGCCTCCCTTTGAATAGATGTTTGCAAAAAAAAAAAAACACCCAAACCTACTGCCATGGAGTCGGATCCGACTCATGGCGAACCCTCCTTGGGTTTCTGAGGCGGTATCATGACAGAAGTAGATGGCCCATGTATAGGAGAGCAATAAAAATGTGATAAACCTTAGAATTTCTTTCATTTCTCAAAAAGGCTAATCTATGTAAACTCTGTTTTCTCTCTTTATGTTCCCCTCTTTCTCCTTTTTTTTTTTTTTTTTTCCTCTCTTTTTAACAGGTTTTGAGGACTATGGAGATTATTGGAGAGGAGATTATGAAACATATGACTATGGCCGCAACCAGTTGATTGAAGATGTGGAACGCACTTTTGCACAGGTAACTAAGGCACTGTACACAAAGACAGAGGGGGGCAGTGCACGGGAAGATGGGACAGTGATTGAAGGAATTCTAGCTTATGCTTAACATACAGGCCTGCCATTCCTTGGCCCTGTAGAGTCATAGATTCTAAAACTTGAAGGGATTTTAGAGAATAGGGCAACTCACACCAAGGATTAACTTCTTTCACAATCGGTCTTTCTACCTGTTTTCCTCCTATTACAGCAATTGAGCAGCAATTAGCCATAAAAAGATTATCAGAAGGAATGGTCTCTGTGACCTACTTGGGACTGGCACTTTCTTCTTTCATTGGCAGAAACATAGGTTTTGCTTCCTTTCTCAGGACAATTGACACCATTATTTCCTTACCCTTCTATCTAAGGAAGCCTTCATGGAGCAGGGAGAGGCTTGTGAGAAGAACTGTCCCATAGACACTTCCCAGTTGCCCTTTCTTCCTTCATTTTCACCCCCATGTCTCCTCTTTGCCCCTTCAAGCTTCTTATGCAGTTGCATAAGACATGCACATAACACAGCCATAAAACCAAAAACCAAACCCACTCCCACTGAGTCAACTCTGACTCATAGCGACCCCCATTGGGTTCCTAAGGTTGTTGTTGTTGTTGTTATATGCCGTCGAGTCGGCCCCGACTCATAGCGACCCCTCCTTGGGTTTCCGAGGCAGTATCACTACGGAAGTAGGATTGCCCAACCTTCCTTTC